TTTGGCAACTCTCTGCTCGTGCTCTCTGCAGCATCTCTGGCCAGCCCATTCCTGAGACTGAATAACATCGACGTATAGGGTATGTGCTAGTCGACCCAATGGCTCCAGTGCCGGGCAGGGCAGTTGAGCTCAACAAGTGAATTTATATTGAAATTTGAAGTCAGCTTGATTTGAGGCTGACTTGAGAGTGAGCTGAAGCCGAGATCAAGTGTGTTTTATATCGCAGCTTAATGGGCTATAGCTGGGAATGAAACTATCGCGTGCTCTATTTGGAATCGCATTCGCATTCGCCTCCAGTTCAGGGAGCATTGATTTCTCTCTCTCGGCGAAACTGCGAGTATTCGTATTCTGTCTGGTTGACTCGCGGCTATTAAAAGTGTTGGCAATGGCTGTGGCGGGCGCTGGCGCTGGCGCGAGGGGCGCCGCAAACATTTTGTTGCTCATTAAATGCACTCAGGCAAATTTATACCCATTTATTTTTAAGGGCACGAAGCGCTTCAGTCTCTTAAGGGGGCCCAAAACGGGGGGCGTCACGCTTTAATGATGCTCACTAAAAGTGTTTTTTTTTCTGCTGCTGCCGCTGCTGCTGCTTCTTCTTTTCTTTATTTATTTAAATGCGAGCAGAAAGCAACAGCCGCGCCTCAGCTGCTGCCTGATAGCAGGAGAGATATGGCGCAGGAGGCGGCGGTGCAGGTGGCTGTGGGTGGTTCAGCTTGGGCGGTGGAGGCTGCTGAACAAACTTTATGACTTTTATCTACGCGCAAGTTTCGAACTGGAGCCCAGCAACAGCGAATGGCAATGAGAATGGGAACTAAGGCTAACACCAAGGCCGGAGAGTGGGTGAGGGAGAGAGGAAGTGGCAGCAGGAGCTGGAGCGGTACAACATCAGCCGAGTTGCCTCACGGCCAAATACATAAATATTTTCAGTGCCTGTGTCGCGTGCTGGTAAAACAGTGAGAGCGAGAGAGAGAGAGAGAGAGAAAGAGAGAGAGAGAGAGAGAGAGAGAAAGAGAGAGAGAAAGAGAGAGAGAGAGAGAGAGAGAGAGAGAGAGAGAGAGAGAGAGAGAGAGAGAGAGTGCGAGAGACATGACATTTTTCATATAAATTTATTTGGCTTTGGACGCTTTGTCGGCCCTGCCGCAACATTGATGGGCGTGGCATGGCGCATATTTGCATATTTGAAGCCAAGCAGCACCAAAGTGCCATAAAAGCACGCTACAGCTGAATGAAATGAAGTCAAATGGCAGAGTACAAAGTACAAGCGACAGCAGCTAAACGGCCAAAACAGCGCCAAGCCAAGCCAACCCAACCAAGCCAGAGCTTGACCGGACTCCTAGACGGAACGGAACGGAACGCAGTGGAACGGCCAGAAGATATAGGTAATAAAAAGCTTATATAATAGCAGATGCCACACTAAAATGTCCAACAGCCGCCAGCCCGCCAACCAGCCAATCTCAGTAGCTGGCCGCCCCACCGAGTCCCTTCCATCACTCCAGCATCAATAAAATGGCATTCGGCAAAGGTGTGTGATGGAAGCACAAGCAGAGCGAGAGAGATGTTTGCTGAGAGAGAGAGAAAGAGATATAAAGCTTTGCAAACTAAAGTCAATCTGTCAACCAAATTGTCTTTTAATGCTTTTTTATTTCCTTAGAAATTTCTCTAGCTCTCTTTGTCTTTTTCTCTCCCTTTCTCTAATTATTTGTGTCCTTGAATGTCTCTCTTTCTATCACAATTTTTCTATATCTCTCTCTTCTCTAAAGTTGTCTATTTTTGACTCTTTTTCTCTTCCTCGTAGTCTTCTCTTTTTTCTCTCGATCTCTGTTCATCTCTCTGAGTCTTTCTCTTCTCAAAGAGACTTTTCTTACTCGCGTTCACTGTGTTTCTCTTTCACTCTGACTCGCTCTATCCTGTATGTTGTCCTTTCTTTCTCTCTCTGTATGTATGTATTCTTTTATCTGCTCTATTTTCATGTTTCCCTCCGTCACTCTCCCATTGACTCACTCTATCTTTTTCTCAGTCTCTCTTTCTCATTCTTTATCTATCTTATTTTCCCTCTTCATCTCTCTCTCTCTCCCTCTCTCTTTTTCTCTCTCTATATATTCATCTCTCTCCATGGTCACCTCTCTCTCTCTCTCCTCCATTCTCCCCCTCTCTCTCGCCCCACATAGTTACCCCAGCTTTCCAGCTACAAATTTGATTAGGGATATTCTAATGCAAATTGATAATTTGATTCAGCTCATATTTCCTATATGGCTCTGTGCGAGTCATGAAATGGAAGCCCGTTTGTTCGTATTGTGGAGTCGGTGCTTCTTTTTGTACAATGTAATGAAATGCATAAGAAATAAATGAAAATAATTTATTTACATAAAGGCAAAGTGAGCCGTGTCGCCATCAGCGTCGAGTTACAAATTCGTTTATTCGACACAGAATCTAGTTTGAGGGTTTTTCGTGTCCACATAAAATGCTGGCAACAGCGCACCACTTGTCGGCTATACCCTGCAGAGTGCGCCAAGCGGGCGGTGCGAAATGGGGCAATTCCAGGGAAATTCCAATTCTTATAGGGAAAAAGAGATCGAATCGATAAGGTTGAGTCAAACTGATTGAATTTGAATACATTTTGAATGGCTCAGTTGCGTTTAGCTTCGAATCAATTACAGGGTATCACTCAGTCGAGCATTTCGAGTCTAGCATATTTACTTTTTGTTTTGACCGCTTCGAGCAGATTGTGTCAGATATTAAATTTATTTACGCGAAATTCGCACTTCGGGCTGTGTGAAAAAAAAACAACGCCAACAACAACAACAACAACAATAACAACAACAACAACAACAACAACAACAACAACAATAATAACAACATCAACCACTACGAGAATAACAACTGTGCATGTGGCACAAAATGTTGCCCAAAAAAGAAAAACAAAAACAAACTAAAAAGCAAAAGAAAAAGAAACAGAAAAAAATAAAAGAACTCGACAAAAATAAAATACAAATATTGGAAAATGGCGGACAACGCTTTTCATGAAAATTGTGCTTAGCTTTTCACTACTCTGTACCCAATGCAAGAGGTGTGCATGGAATCGATCGGGATTTCGTATGCAGCTCTTGTGGACTCTATGCTCTATACATAAAGTTATGTGGACTCTATTTAGGGAGTTTGGACTTGGTCAAAGTGTATGTAGAGTCTAAGTGGAAGCTAGAGTCAGGGTTCTATATAGACTATACAGAAGGATCCTATGTGAAGATTATACGGCATTTTATATACTCTCTATATGGCTTCCATATGAACTCTACATGAATTCAATATGGACTCTAGATGAACTCCTGTTGGACTCTACTTAGTTTCTATGTGGACTATATGTCGACTATATGTGGACTCAGTGTTGACTCGATGTGGACTCCGTGTGGACTCCGTGTGGACTCCGCATTGACTCAGTATGGAATCCAAGTGGACTCTATGTGGACTCAATTTGTATTCCATGAGGATTTTATTTGGATTCTATACTAACTCTAGTTGGTATCTAGTTATACTCCTATATGGACTCTATTTGTACTCTATATGAACTCTAATTGGAATTTATTTGGTTTCTATATGGCCTCTTTATGCCATCTATAACGACTCCATTCAGACTCTATGTATATATTGCTATATGATTTGTGTACAACTATCGAGACGTCATGCTGGGCAGATTCTCAGCTGTCCGCTTCAGCTTCCACCTAGCAGCTACAGGCTTTTAATTTAAATATAAAGAACTGTGTTCTGTCATCAGGTCTAAGGGTCTATAATAAATTCTTTGATCTGCATTCAAAGTAACAGCCGAGCAAGAGACAAGCTTAAGGGTTACAGGGTATCAGAGGGTTGGGCAGACACGGCTGAAGCCACTTTGCCAGCTGACTGCGTTTTGTTTTATGCTTGTCGCTGCGGATTACTAACTCGGCAAAGGCGTTCAACTATGCGAAGTTGAAATTTGACTGCATCCCAGCATTGGGTGTCATGTTTCAATTCGTGCCCGACACAAAGGGACTTTAAAGCGCTGATTGGACTGGAGCTCTGGCGTCCGTAGCGCAGCGGCAGCGTGTCCCCAAGCAGCTGCTAAGCTCAGCTGCTACCAATTACGCTCTGCGATTACAGTGCAGATAACGGAGAAAGCTTAATGAGCAATCTTTGCCAGATCAGCGACACCTCTTACCTCTTATTCTTGAGCCCGGTCTCCTATTAGTAGGGATAAATTTAAGATATATCAAGAAACAGCAAATGTTAAGATAACCTTAAGTATCTCAGACTGCAGCTCGATGTTTCTCTCGCTGACCTTAGTCAAGGTCTCATTAACTGAATCAATAATTAGCTAAAGTTAAAATCTGTGTTTGATACGTTGCCAAATTTGGAAATGGCAAATAAATCAATGCCAGCAGCTGTGCATGCAAGCATCGGGCTTGAGTGGTGCAGTTGAGCAGTCCGTTGAGCAGTCCGTTGAGCAGTCCGTTGAGCAGTCCGTTGAGCAGTCCGTTGAGCAGTCCGTTGAGCAGTCCGTTGAGCAGTCCGTTGAGCAGTCCGTTGAGCAGTCCGCTCAACTGAGCCGCCTTTCCTCGCGTGCATATTTATCTGCTGTACGTGTTACACTGACAGTGTAACTCTGGCTAGCATAGGGTATGTGGGTAAATGGGGTATATTGATTGACTTACGCTGATAACTGACTGTCTGTCTGTAGGAGTGGGGACTCTGGAAGTCTGCTGATTACAGAGTATGCGCAAGTCGATACAGCCCCATCGCTTGCCCGCTAACTGCTTCGCTTTAGCTTTTATGATGAACGTTTTGTTTTGCATATGTTTTTGGCTTAACTGCTGCAGTCGCCGTTGTCGGGTAGTAAAAACCTAGCACGTTGCTTGGGCTGCGCCGCGGCTCAGTCATTAAACTTTGCCTGGCCAAGTGGCGCGAACTGCTGCTGGCTGTAAATAAAGTTGATCTGAAGACTTATGCGATTATTTCTCTTGTGCTTGCAGACTAAATACTTTGGAACTCGCTCGCTTTGAATTGATCACGTCGAGAGCTGAAATACCCTGGAATTGGTGAGTAGCGCGGATACAGCTGACGGCACGGCAAGGGGCAAGCAAATCGATGCTGGCGCCGCTGGCGACGCTGCCGTTGCCATTGCCACTGCGCGGGGTTAATTAAAATAAGTAAAACACTTTGACAAAATTCCATTTAATCTACTGCGCTTCGAACTCGCAAAGACCCAACAAGCAGCGCCAAATTAATTATGCGCATATTTGTGGACTCGCCTAAGGAGGGCAAAAAAGGTTCACTTTGATTTGCATTTTTTTCGGCGTACTCGAATACGACATTTATGACATTTACCGCACATTGCGTGGCAGCCGCCTCCAGCCAGCGCCGCCCTCTATTAATTACAACAATCCACTACTAATCAGGGCTCCAGCGGGACCACCACTGACCACCACGCTGCTCCAGTGTTAAATGGACCGCTGAGCCGCATAATTTCCAAGTGTTAAGACGGAAGCTCTGGCCGGCCATTAAGAGCGAAGCAAAAACAGCTGGCAGAGCAAGCGAGACTAACTGAAATTGAATATGAATAGATATAAGCTTAGATATTAGACACATGTACTATACGATATATATGGAAATTGAATATGGATATATAGTTAGGTATCTAATCTATATATCCATAATCTATAATCTATATTTAGCTTCATTTACAGCGACTCGAAGTAAGTCGAAGGTCACTTGGTGCCCAGCTCAGGTCTGGAACTGCTCATCATTTTCTCTAGTTTATCTTAAGTTTTTTAATTAAGTAACAATCTGCCAAAGATGCAACCTAAGAAACAAACTCAAGGATTGTTAGAGCAAATATGGCTTAAGTCTGGGAGCGAGGCGAAGAGATCTCTGTGTAGATGCAGAAATTTCAATTGGAATTGGTCGAGTTAACTTATCTAACTAAAAAGACCTAGGATACTGGAATTTCACTAAATTTTCTCTACTTTATATATAGAACTCTTAAGTTTTTTAAACACCAAATAGTCTGGCAGGGAAACAGCTTTAGTCACTCGGCAGGAGGCGGATAGATCCATGCGATAGACACAGATGTGTGTAGCTGCAGTTGTCAGCTGGCATAAATTTCAATTGGAGTTTGTCGACCAAGTTAATTTGGCTAACTATAATGTATTTATTGTCTGAGCAGGTCGTTTATCAGCTGCCAGTAGCTATGTTGCCTTTTTTGAATGGAGCAAGTGCCATAAAACTGTCTTAAGCTTGCGTAAATGAACGGCGATTGCATTGGACAAAAGCTCGCACTTATAGAGCGCACACACACACACACACACACACACACATACACATGTGTATATATATATATATTTAACGTTGTCCAATATGAGCAACAATAAATTGCCGAACCGCCCCGCCCACTCATTAAATATGCATACATATGCACGACAGCTAACACACACACGCCTGCCTGTGTGCGTGCGTGTGTGTGTGTTGTGTCTTTACGTTTAATTCAATAACGCAGCAGCAACTCGTTTACCACGCCCATTACGCCCGCAAAAGGTACAGCGAGAGCGACAGCAACTGTGGAACGTGCAATCGTTCTGTTCACAGGACATGGCCAGGACCTCATGTCGCAGCTGCAGCTATCTCTCTCTCTGGGTGTGTGTGTGTGTAACATGGGAATGTTTTCCACTTGGGTATTGTTGCCCGCCCTCCAGCCGCCCGCTGTCTGGCGTTTCATTTTCATGTTTCAGACTTGACGCGTTCGAGCATGTCGAGGCATTCAATTTCTTATTTCCTCGTCTGTTGTCGCATTTTCATGTGGTGTCATGTGCTTGTCTCTTGCACCGGCTGACACAGCCACTCCACCCACTCGAGCCACTCCCCCACTATCGCTGGGAAAGTCAATCATTTCATTTCGGTCGTGTCTTCAGCGCAGTAACCAGGCAACACTTGGCGCTCTCTCGCAACTTAATGAGACTTTCAGAGCCATTCGTGCATGCCTCAATTTATAATTATACCCTGTACGCACAGCAGTGAGCGCCCACTCGTTTAAGCCAACGAGAATCTTAATTACACGCACCAACTTGGCCAGGAGTTGGGGCTCAACGGCCAGCGCCCCTAGCCAGGGCACAGGGTATCGTGGCGTCGGGCAGCACTGCTCTTGCCTGCTTCGAGTACACACAATAACTGCATTTGCAGGCAACTTTTTAATATGATATTCATAGCCATCTATATATATACCCATTAAAATTTGCTGACATGAGGAGGCTGCGCTGCGATGGGCGGGTCGGTTCGGGTCACACAGTAAACTTTATTTAATGCAATTATTGTCAACATCAAATTGATAAAGTGCGCTCCATGTCTTTGCCAATGAAGGGCCCTAACTGTCGGAGTTTTGTCTGTAACTAGCCACAGGTCCAGCCTGCTGCCTGCTGGCTGGTGCCTGGTGCCTGATGCCTGCCGCCTTCTCTCCCAGCTCTCCTTGGCCTCTCTTGGTAGGCTGTCAATTATGGTGGCCAGGTAACTGAGCAGCCTGCACCTGGAGCGTCCTTCAAAGCTAAAAAATTAATTAGCAGCTCGGACGCATAGATACTTTTTCCTGGCAACTGCCACGCCCGCCTGCCCCAGCTGCCACCCGCCCACGCCTTATCAGCAACTGTGCGAAATTTCATAAATTTTACTGGCCTGGCCAAATGTGAATGAAATATCAGCTACTGTAAAGCCAACAGAAAGTTGAATCGTTAAAAAGCAAAAATGGCATAAAAAAGGCAAAAAACCACAAAGAGAGAGAGAGAGAGAGAGACAGAGAGTGGGAGAGAGAGAAAACAGAAAATGTTTTTGTATGCAAAAGTTTCGTAAAAAGCATTAAAATTTAAAACAAAACCCAAAGAGAGCAAGCGAGCGAGAGAGAGAGAGAGAGAGAGGGAAGAGAATTACGATGACCGCTCCCAGCCGGTCTGGTCATGGTCAAAATATTGAAAATATTTTTCAACAGTTCCCCAACGCCAACGCCAATGCCAACGCCACCGCCAGCCAGCAAACAGCAACCACCGAACAGCCACCGCCAGGGCCGGTGTTAATAATTTGTTTTGTTTCTACCTTGCGGTCGAGGAATTTTTTTGTTCGGCCCCAAAATGTTAATAATTGGCATTTCTCTGCTATGGGATGTTGCTGCTACGGCTGCCAAGAAGTGTGCGTGTGTGCGTGTGTGTGCCTGGACGAAGGGCGCTCCATAAATTGTTTCGGAAATTACAATTGTACCGCTAGGCGGCATCACTCTTGACTGCTGACCATTGCCCGACTTCTCGACCACGCGATTGATTACAGTTCATTTCATTTCTGGGCATTGTTACGCTGCCTACCCCGCACTCCCCTCCCCAACCATCCCACGACCCGCTGGCATGCGGATTTTTTATTGAATTTCATTTTCCATATAAATAAAAATATATTTATTTGTGAACTTTCGTTTTACGAATTGTTTTAATATTTGCTCTGCTGAGCTAATATTATTGTTGAGAACTCTCATTTCTGGCCATTTGCTTATTGCGTTTTTAATATCCACAGCATTTTTGCTGAATCAGTTTGACTTTTCAATTTAATCCCAAATGCTGTTTCGATTATAATAATAAATGATATTTGCCTGGCAAATTCTTCAAAATTAATTGCTATTTGCAGCTCGAAATGGTTTAGAAATGCATTGCCTGATCAGAGATATCGAGCCGAACAGAGGTGGGCTTACTGAGCCAAGTTAATAAACTTATCTGATCAATATGTCACATGGAAACCTGATCACTCACATCAACTAATGCAATTAAACAAATTTATTTTCATTGGATTACAATACAGCTGTGTGTGTGTGTGTGCGTGCTTTGGCCAAACTAAATATACAAATACATAATGGCAGCTGTATGTTTAAACCACTTGCTGTGATTGTTGGGCAACCACCCAACTAGGCCCGCACCACCCGCAGTCCCGAACACGCCCATTGGCCACATTGCGTAATGGGTTTTGCGTATTATGCGCATTTAATTGGACTTTTTGTTGTTCTGCCAGACAAATGCGCGTTAAATTGAATAAGCTGCAATAATTGCATAAGTTTGATTAGTTGGATAAGTGGTTTTATTTGGGGCCACCCCTTCGATGGCGCCAACTTTGGGCGATAAATGAGCCGAGCCAACCCGATAGAAAGTGGAAAATATTCCGCTTTTATGTGGAAAGTCTTCAGTCAGCATTAGGAGCGACTTCTTGGCTCGAGATGTGGCAGGGAGAGGGAGAGAGAAATGAGAGAGAAGTGGGAGAGAAGTGCGAGAGAAAGTTGTATAGAAAAACTTATCGATTCGACTTTTGCCAACAGTTGAACAGTTGGACTCAAGAGCTCATAGGCTGTTATAGAAACATTTGATTTAATTGTTCAATGTAGTTGAGCTCAAGGGCGATAGAACTATTTGTTCTTTAGCTCCAATAGGCCTCAGAGTCGGCAATTAGCTCTTCATCGGGGCTAACTCTCGCTGCTGCGAGCAATTCAAAGTCCAATCCATGGTTTGCTTCACTCAAAATGCTCTCCTAGGACTCTCCTAGACTCAACTAAAATTCAAAAGTGCCTTAAAATTTGAGTCTGTCTTGGCAGGTGGCTGCATCAGCCGGCAATCATGCCCAGCAGTTATAGCCAAAGAATGATCAGCTAAGTATGTTCTTTCTCTAGATGTGCCTTGTCACAAGCATCAGTGGGCCAAACTTAAGCTCAAAGTCAAAGGCACACGCTCGACATTGGGATTGAACCTTGACTTAAATAAAGTGCTTTGTCTTGCTGTACAAATTGTATTGGAGACGAATTTATTAATGGCTTAATTGAATGGCTGAACTGAATCGAGAAGATTGCTCCATGTTATCTATAGCGAACTCTTAACGGGCTTCCGTTCTCTGCGCGGCGCGCAGCTCGGCTGGGTGTGCGACTAATTTGCGTCTGATTACTTGGGTCGATGCCGCAGCCCACAGCCCACAGCCCACAGCCCACAACGAGCAGGGCGGCATTGTGTGGAGGACCGGCGCGTCGGCGTCATAG